GAGGTCATGAGTTTGATTCCCGGTACCAGAAAAAAACCAAACCCCCCCCAAAAAAATTATTAATTAAAAGTCCTGGGGTAGGCTGGGCTTGGTGGCACATGCCTGGAATCTCAGCAGTTGGGGGACCGAGGCAGGAGGATTGCTGTGAGTTCAAGGCCAGGCTTGGCTACATAATGAGTTCAGGACCAGCCTGGACTGCACAGTGAGACCCTGTCTCAAAAAAAAACTAAAGAAAAAGTAAAAGTCCTGGGGAAGCTGGGCATGGTGGCACACATCTGTAATCCCAGCACTTGGGAGGCTGAAGCAGGAGGATTGTGTAAAGTTCAAATCAAACCTGCCTCTCCCAGCCGCCAGCCTGCTTGCCCTCAGAAGCACTACTGTCTGCAGGGAACTCGGCTCTCAGCAGGGAACTCCGCTCAGTACTGAAGCTGTCCGCCACAAGCTCAGGAAAAAAGATAAGATAGGACAAGGAATTTTTCAGGTCCTGGGGACATCTGGGGACACCAAAAGTTTATACCTGACACTTCTAGGATTCTGCCCACTGAGATGCAAGACTGCCGGAGAACTTTGACCGCAGATGTTTATTGGTATATTCCCACCTAATGTCTGCTGCCTTCTCTCCATCCCTAGAAAAATAGACACACTTCTCTTTGTTCAGGGCAAGATGGTCTTAAATTCCAGGCCATATTGTTTTTACACAAGCCTGGTGGTCTCTGCTGGTTTTTCCCCTTCTTCTTGTATGTTACAGATCGCATGCTTTAAAAATCAGTGTAGGCTACATAGTGAGTTCAAGGCCAACTTGAACTACATAGCAAGAGCTGGTCTCAAAAAGCAAAACCAGGGCCTGGGATATTGCTCAGTGGTGCAGCACCTGCCTGGCAAGTGCAAGGTCCTGAGTGGGATTCCTAGTACCAAAACCAAAACCAACCCAAACAAGTCTTGGGAAAGAGCCACTATTCCTTATTCAACAAAAGCAGCAGCCAGAGGAATCAATGGCTAAGTTACAGGCCCTGAGAACTCACAGTAACCAGCGGCAAGAGCGGGGAGAGAATTCATGTCCTTTGTTGGAATCCAGTTTCCATTTTCTTAGATTAGTAAACCATGGCTGAGATCAAGCCCACTTCATCTTTGGTCCATTCTTAGGAATTATATCTTCTGTAGGTCAAGTGCTGCTATTTTTTTTTCCATAAAATAACTTTTCCGTACATGGCCCCCACCCTGTTTGGGGTTAGGCATTTTTATTCTGGCTTAGTGATCACAAAGCAGAGGTGCGTACAGGGCAGGAGGCTTGATCAGGTCCTAGAGCTGTTTCCTGGCACGGGATGCCAGTCAGGCATTCTTTCCTCCAGGTCACGCTGTCCTCCACCTGATCCTGTCCGAAACTGAGCAGGCTGGTTTGGGCTCATGCAGAGGTTGACTCCCTGCCATGGCTACTGCAAAGGGCAGATGTGAAGAAAGCTACGAAACTGTATCTTCAAAGATGGACAAGGGCGCCCTGCTCAGTGGGGCCATGCGAGTCTTGGCTTGGAGGTGGCCTGGCCGCTGCCCGGTCCAAGGATGCGGATGACTTTTCCTGCCTTCTCCCCTGCCCCTGGCTCTGTCCCGCTGTCTGATTCCTTTCTCCTTCCCTCTCCTTGGTCAGAGCAGAGCTCATTCATATCACAGAGATCCTTGCGGCAGGGCTCCCAGTCGCCTGCTCCTTTGCTGAAGCTCCTTGTATCACATCGTGGCAGAGGCTCAACGCATTGGTCAGAGTACAACTTTATTGCACTGAGTAACCCCACAGGGCGGGGAGAAAGACACGGCCACGGCCCTACTGGTCATTATGTGATTGGCAAAATTGTCATAGGGCACCTCTCATTAACAAGTACAGTACAAAAAAATAAGTACAGTACATGATCATAGCATCTAGAAAATCAGAGACTACACAATTTGGAGGGATTCAGTAACAGAACGTCTCCACTTGAGGCAAGCCTGGGCCTTGAAGACAGAGAATGCGGGTTAAGAATTGAGTGTCTATCGCTGCAAGCCCTCAGAGCCTGGGTTAGGAAAGGATTAACTTTGCTAAGCCTTGCATTCCTCTTAGGTCCAGTGGCAAACCTAACACTATCCCTTGCAACAGACTGCTGTAAGAATAAAGTGCCGCATACCACCAGGAAAACAGTAGGCGCTCATAAATGCTAGTTGTCCTCCCAGAGGTGCACGGAAGAGCGAACCACCACCAAGACGAGCCTGACAACAGCTGTGCGTTTCGAAGACCTTACGGAGCCACAACACCTGCGCGCTCACGGATGACGTCTGCCATCACTGCCCAGGACAGAGCGGTGCACTTCAGGTTACACACCAACTTCCCACTGTGCTTACTACGATTGCAATGATACAGTTATTCATGAGATTATTTGCTTTCTGTTTGCGCACTCTCCAAGAACAAAGAGTGTGCCTTTTCCAGTGCCTGGCACATGCAAGATGAGTGAACAAGTGTTCCAACGTCGCCACCCCTATCTCCTTGCAGCCAAATGTGAGTTCTGCTAGTGTTCGGGGCAGCGACCACTGCCCGCTGCATAGGGAGAAGGATGGCTGGGACCTCGGTCGGGATCACCAGGGTGTAGGGGGGGGCGGGTCCTTCAGCCCACCTCTGACACCGGCTCTGCATCCTTTCCGCCACACTCCTCTGCCCTGTGACTCACCAGTCTCGCCCTCATTGTTCTCTTAATGGTGCTATTCCAGAGGGAGACTGTTCCCCGGAGCCTGGGCGTGTCCTTTGGTGGCCACTTGCCACATTTTGCATACAGAAGGCCCACTTTCCACGTAACCCACTGAGTAAAGGGTTAGTTATTGGCTGAACACAGCCCTCTTTGGTGATGGCAAAACAAGCCCTTAACTGCTCATTAACACAAGCTCCAGGAAGCAGGGAAAGTGTGCCCGAGGTGGGAACTCAAGCCAGGGGTGTGTGTATCTGTGTGTGTGTGTGTGTGTGTGTGTGTGTGTCTGCTGGGGGTGGGGGTGGGGACTCTTGATATTCAGTTTGTTTGTTTGTTTTTGTCTTTTTGAGACAGGGTCTCGCTATGCAGTTCAGGCTGGGTTTGAGCTCACTTTGTAGCCCAGGCTGGTCTTAAACTCACAGCAGTCCTCCTCAGTCCTGTCTCAGCATCCCCCGAGTGCTGGGACTACAGGGATGTGCCACCACACTTGGCCATTCTTTACTACTTAACCAAGTTTCTGACTAATTTTACTAGTCTATTTACTGGTCTGAGTCCAGCCTTTCCTCCCTATCTTTAGGGACCCCTCACAGAGCCATGATGGACGAGAAATGGAACTTAACATTCAGGCAGACACAATGGGGAAAACACCCCAGGAGGAAATATTCATTTCTGTGGTACCGGGAGGAAATAGCAGCGGGTGTGTGCGTGGCCGTTTGCCTTGAACAACCAGGTGCAGAGAGCAAGGGATTTCACCTCCACAGGTTCAGGGTCTGAATCTCTGGCCCTGCAGTGGTTCCTGCAGGCTTTTGTGTTGCCCTGGTGGATTTCATTGTCTAAACAGAATAACCTTGAGGACAAAAGACACAGGGACAAGAACCACAAACAAACACTCCTTCCCCACTCCAGAGTTTGCTCAAGGCTCTTTATTGGGTAGAAAAGGTCACCCTTAAGCCTACTGTGGTCTGGAAGTGGCTGTGACAAGATTGTCACTGTAACAACTTCCTTAAAGAGTCTTCAGATCCTTTTATTACCCACAGGGTAGCTGGGCTGATAAGAGTCCAAAGGACGGTAATACCCCCTAAAATGTGGGTAGTGTCTGCTTCCTGGTGCTCTCAGCAGGGAAACTGCCCCATTCCTCCAAAATCAAAGCAAATGAGAGGCTTCATCGGTCACTAAGGCCAGTGTGAGAGTCAGAACAAATCTGATATTGGCAAGGGCTGGTCTGGCTGCTGCGGTCAAGAGAAGAGGGTGACTGGCAGGGTCAGGAGCCCAGGGGTCCTGTCAGAGGGCTGGGAAGGGGAGCGCTCTGCAGCCAGTGTGGTCTGAGCTGTGTGTGTGGACGGTAGTTACAGAGTCACAAGGTGGGAGACAAACCATGCCCAGCACCTAGAGCTCTGCAGAGACCCTGAGTGTGCCCAGGAAAGCCGGAAGCACAGATGACAGGGGTGGCAGCAGCAAGATTGAGGAGGCAGCGGGGGCGGCAGGTGAATCGAACCCGAGGAGTGAAATACAAAAGCGATCAGCAGTGCGGGCGTATGACCAGACATGTGCATGCCCGACTGCAAGCACGCGGGGAGGCAAGGAACGCGGGCAGCAGGGAGCCGCCGGGGTTGCTGACACACCCTGGACACAGCTGCGGTGGGGGGAGACCAACACGCACATCAGCTAGTGCGGAAATTCTGAACTTCAGGCAGTTCCTTGGCTGTCAGTCGCTACCCCGTGCCCAGTCCAAGCAGGGGTACGAATGCTGGGAGGTGCTGGGGGAAGCTTTGGCCCAAATAGCACTGGACTTTTAAGAAGGAACAAGGAGGGACCAAGGCCCTTCTTTGAAAGGATCCCTAGACAAACTTCCCGATGGGGCCTGACGTGGGCGATCTCACCCCGGCCTGCGGGCAGCTTCCGAGGAGAGCGGGCTCCCCGGGTCAGCCGCGGCCCCAGGAGCCCCGGGGCCCTGGAGGGGGCCGCTGGAGTCCGGGCTACGGCTCACCTGGGACCTGGGGCGCCAGCCCTCCGAGAGGCTGGGCTCCCCTCCCCGCCCCCCGCATGATGACATCACGTGCTTGGGGTTGAGCTGGTACATAAGAGCAGCGCGGGGGAGCCAGGCGCCCAGGCGCGGACGAGCTCGCCGCGGCTCCCGGCTGCT